GGACTGATCTCTAGGTTTCTACTCAAGATAGGCAAGATTATTTTTTAGCCTAAAGACATTTATCCTCAGTGCCTGGGAACTGAAACATCTGCTGGGCTCCAAGATGGTGGCCATGGATGGACACAACGAGCTCATCTGTTGAAGGAGTCTGAGTGCTGCAGTCTGGCTGTGGAAGCTGGGTGGCCTTTCTGCAGCGTGGTGCCACAAAGAGCATAATGTCCGAGGAAGTCAAACACATAATGGAAAGATATGAGCCTCTTGACCCACTGAAATGATCTTTTAGTGGCAGTAACAGGGCATATGGGGAACTACAAAAGCAGACAGGTTCTTGAACTGCATATTTTCTCACAATAATCCATTTCTTGTGTAAGAGCTACACTTGAATTGTGGAAGGAGATTGGTTGAAACCAGCAAAGCATCACAATAGTGAAACGAGGTGACATAYAGAAAGATGTGAATGACAGAGATCCCTCATGCTTTTTCAACAGGATCAGAAATAGGCTGAATTAACAAGTGAGATAGAATGGACTGCTATGTGTCACCCTCATGAACAGACCAGCTAATAATCCTCAAAGCACACACCGTGGCTTTTTAGAAGAAAGTACAAGGCTACTTCTCACACACTGACACTCTGGTGATTCATGGTTTGGTGAGGAGAGGGAGGAAGAATTGATGTCTTCACTTATCTCTTTGGCCAGGGGCACCTGTACACCATACAACTGCAGAACAACACCAAAATCTTCAGGTGTGTGTATGAGAAACGCAGATAATGGAAAAATAATGCATATTTAAGTCACATCTAACTCCAAGAAAACCTTACAGCAATCAATCTTTTTTAAATAAGAAAGAAAGTCAGTCAATAGCATCTGAGCAACAGATGAGAATTAAAGCAAAATCTGTTGGCTAATGGTAACAGCCTTTGTGTTCTTTGTTGTTGAAAATGTGCATGTAGCAGCAATTCCAATATGCTCACAAACTCACATGCAAAAGGCTATGGAAAACAGTTGCTATTTTTATACTGAAGATAAAATCAAACACCACCTTTCAGATCTTAATTTTGCTAAAATAGTGGAAGGAAACAAAACCCAAGGTGCTAGATGTCTAAAGGTTCCACAGGTGCTGGATCCTTTAGAAATTTCTCCTACATGAAAATATAGAGAATATTGGACAACAAAAGGGAAGAGTTGGCACTTAAGCAATGAAGTATAAATCTGCCAAATCAAACCATGTAAAATAAAACATGAAGTTAAAGTTTAGTTTAGTAACATTCTAGGAAGTAGAATATGCAAATACCTAACAGATTTTATACTTATATACCACTCTAGTTAAGTTAGTTTGTTTAGTTTTTAATACATTAAAAAGGAAATTTTCCTTATAAATTACTGAAAGTGTAAAATAATAATAATAATAATAACAACAATAACAACTTACCAGTTTTCTGTTGATAATGTAGGAAATTTCTGCAAATTTAGTGACTTGAAAAACAAAAATGRACTAATATTAAGGGCTTGGCCAGAGAGAATCCACTTTCTCACTCTGTCTAGCTTCTAGAGGCCCCCGTCTTGCGTGGCTTATGGTCCCCTCTCTTGATCTTTACAGCCAGTAACACTACATTTCTTTGCACTTGCTTCCTTAGTCATACCTTCCTCTTGCACTTTTAAGGGACCCTGTGATTAGATTGGGCTCACTGAAGAAACCCAGGATAATCCTCAACTGAAAGTGAGTGAATCAGCAACCTTAATCTCATCTGCAATCTCAATTCTACTTTGCCATACAACATAACACACACACAGGTACTTGGGATGAGGACATGGACATCTTTAGGGGATCACTGTTATGTTTACTATTAGATGTTTATTACTTACCAAGCAGAGTTATAATCATGTTACATATAATTAAACAAATGTAATTATCATAATAATGATATATTCTATTATTATTCCATTGTCAGATGAGGAAACTGAGGCACAGGGGTTAAATAATTTGCCCAATATTACCAAGACAAAAAACAGAAGAGTCAGGATTGAACTCAGAAGTCTACATGCAGAGTCTAAATATATTGCAGTTGCAGGTTATAATAATCACCAAGAGGCTTTAGTCATAGTCCATAACTTAATAAAACCATAATAATTACTCAGAATAAGAGAAAAATTTAAATTCAAGGTGGCAAAAGGAGAGACTGAATCTACAGAGACCACTAGGAAAAATAAACTAATGCCTATGTAGAAATTGGGATATAGGTCATTCAAAGTAAAATGGAGGCCATTGTTTTGGGCTGAGTTCCTGCACTGAGATACAAAAGACTAGGAATCACATGATGCAAATGAATTCAGAAATGGGCCAGTTTAAACACAAAACCAAACCAATCAATCAACCCACCACCACCAACAAAAACAAATGGGAGATCATGGAAACCCATCAAAACACATTTATTCACCGTGAGCAGGGTGATGAGGAAAGTCTCTGCTGAAACCTTATAAGGAAAATAATTTTGAAATKACCAACTCAGTTTTTATTTCTTGTTTTTGCTTTTCTCAGGTTTTTCCTGTTGTTAAAACTCACACCTCTGCTCAGCTCACACAAGTGCCTTTCAGTTCTGCCATGAGAATGCTGCCCAATGCATGAGTTGGTAATAAGGTCCAATTTGATCTTTGAAACTCAATTCGTTGAAATTTTTTTCTTTGATAATCAGATGGATAATCAGGCCTGCTGGAGTGACCTCAGTCCAGATGCGAGCAGGACCACAGCATATTTTGAGCAGGAGGACACCAGAATAGCATTCTATGAGCACTGGGAATGTAATGGGAAGACCCAGAGCTGTCAGTATCATTTGTGTCCCTTAAAGTTTACTTAACACTTTTACACACACACACACACACACACACACACAGAGGGTAGAAATGGAGAGAGGAGGAGGGGAGGGGGTAGAAAAGAAAGGAGGAGAGAGGGAGGGAGAAACTTCCCTGTCCGTCTAAAAATGTCAGTTGAAGATCTCTAACTGAAAACATCTGGTACCATATGACAATTGCAACTTTTTTTTTTTTTTTTTTTTTGGTAACAGGGATTGAATTCAGGAGCACTCAAACACTGAGCCACATCCCCAGCCCTGTTTTGTATTTTATTTAGAGACAAGGTCTCACAGAGTTGCTTAGTGTTTTGTTTTTGCTGAGGCTAGCTTTGATCTCATGATTCTCCTGCCTCAGCCGCGGAGTGGCTGGGATTATAGGCACGCACCACCACACTCCACTAACAACTGCAATTTAAAAAAAAAAAAAATATATATATATATAGTTTTAGGTGGACACAATATCTTTATTTCATTTTTATGTGGTGCAGAGAATCGAACCCAGTGCTTCTCGAATGCTAGGTGAGAGCACTACCACTTGAGCCACATCCCCAACCCAACAACTGTAATTTTTAAGAGAGATACAACTTAAGGATTTCATAAGAGGTGACCAATCTGGCTTACCAACTATCATATACTATYGTTCACCTTTAGATCATGCAAGAGAAGTATAGAGATTAATTGATGAGAAATTAAAAGAGGGAAAAAAAGCAATGGAAAGGGGGTACTTCTACTTTTCACCCCAACAAAATAAGCAAGGGACTACAAGAAAATCCCTCAGAGTTTCCTTGTGACTTGCAAAAATGTTCTGACTCTCCCCCAGATATGACAGAGGCTGACATCAACTGTAGGTGGGGAGACCCAAGACAGGAGCTTGACTTGCTCTGGAGAGGTCTGCAGATGTGAGGCTGGTTGGAAACSTGTTGGAGTGAGGAGAAAGAAGAGCCATAGGAACAAGCTGTTCTTGCATTATCTGGTGGTTGAGAAGGAAGTGGTTCTTGTGGGCCAAGCAGATGCTACTTCAATTTGGTTTGAGCCATCTCAAACTGCCACTGTCCAAGAAGTCTTATCAGCTGGGGTTAGGAGATGTCAGGGGTTGACTGTCTGAGGTCAGTGGCAAGTGTAAGGGGTCCTTGGGAAGTCAGCAACTGGTCTAGTAAGGAGCTTCTTGAACAGTTCACATAAGTGGCCCATAAAAAGCCACTGATGGCCAGAGACAAAACTTAAGTAAAATTCTTAAGTTTAAACTCTTGTTTAATATCGTCTTTCTCCTTCCCCTGGTTACAGAGACGGACAGGAAGGAGAAGGTGAATCCCACCACACTGTGGGTCATCCCTTGGGGACAAGGTCCAAGGGGCAAAGAAGAGGAAAATTTCAGTTTATACTGGGCTGGTGGTTCGAGCCCCTGACAAAGACATTGTTTTATTATCTGAAAGTGACCATAAAACTACCAGCAAGAAAGCRGAGAAGATGTGGAGAAGACAACCCCACGGGGTATTTTTGAAAATAGCCATAGGAAAAGAAACAAAAGTGTTTTCTGACTGTGCCCTGCTGAGCCATGCCTAGCCACAGAACCCACTGCATATGAAATCTTGTCACAAACCCACTGGATTAGTAGGGCAGGTGTGCCAGCCTCATTCTGAAAGTAAGGTTCAGAGAAGTTAAGCAATGTGGGTGAAGCCCTGTGGCTCGTGTGTGGAGGGTCCTGGATTCAGATCATTTGGATTCAAGCCCAGGGATATCTAGGCTGCATCACAGTGCCTCTGGTCGTGACCCTATCATGCTCGGAGACCTGGCTATCCGCACACCTAGTGTTACAGTGGGATGAGGTTCATCAACCATGACTATGATGGGTAAGGACTCCTAGTTCTTGCTTCCCTGTGCAGATGGACAGCTCCGTTACATGGAGCTACAGGATTGCCTGTGCCCTAATAAGCATTGGCCTTTCTTTGACATCGGACGTAGGGACAGTTTTCTGTCATCACTATAAGTCTCAGAAGCCTCTATGGAAAAGCAATATGCACATTCACAGTTTTGATTTTTATGTATTTAACTGGAGATGAGGGAAAGCTTGCACTTTGTTTCTGAACRCACACAAAGGAGTGATTTCACCAAGCAAAACAAAACCAACTCTGGCTTCAAAGCAGCCCCGTACCTCAGCATGGCACCAAATCCCTTCCTCTTTATTTTCCTTTCTGGGTCTTCATTTTCCTCTTTCCGCTTTTTCTCCTTGACTTTCAATTTGCCCTTTTCCTTTTTCTTCTCCTTTTCTTTCGTTTTTTTTACCTTCCTGGCTTTATTTTCCACGTCCTCTAGCTCAGAGTTCCCCTGAGGGGCAGATTCACAATTCAGAGCTCCTTGGCCAGAGTGAGAGCTCTTATCGGACAGACCGTCTGTACAGAGAAAGAAAGAAAGAATATCAATACACGTGGTCAGGGGCACGTACGGTTAGTATATAAAGAGAAGTCAAAATGTAAAATACAGAAGAATGCATAGAAGTGCTGCGAGTTCTACCCTTGCATGTGGGGACTTGTACCCTTTGAAGACAGACTGCCTAAATCTGGTTACTTCAAGCAAGGTAGGAGGCTGGRAGGGGGCCCATTGGTTGCTTAGCCAGTCCTATGAAAGGCCTGAATGTGCTAAAACACTAATCTTTCTGAAAGCTGGCTTGTTAACCTTGATCAGCTCAGAAAGCCCACATGCTGGGAAACAAACAGGGCTAGCGACTTTCCAGGAGAGGTTTTTGAGTACAAATATTACCCAACTGCTTCTACTCAATTAATGCAGTCAGTCCTCGGGTTGATGCTGCTTTTAATGACTCAAATAAGAATGTCAAGAAATGCACACTTAGTACTCCTACCCTAAGGGTAAATGACAGTTGGTCCTTGTAGGAAAGCGGAGGAGAACATTTCTTTACCATTTGCACTGTAAAATAAATTGCATATTGCGTTCTCCAATTCCATGTTCGTTAAGCCAAAGGGCAAAACATATCAGGAAAATGAATGACTTTTAATATCAAAAATATAATTRTAACCCTTAAATCATTTTTCTCTGTAGTTAAATGCATACTCTTGCCTATGATTTGCAGATGAAAATGAGATGCAAAAACCACTTAAGGGAGCATATTGGCCTACCAGCTTCCAATTCTTCGGGTCCATCATAAGATTTGTCGATGGCAGCTCGGAAGCTCTCGTTGCAGCCACGGCCGCGAACCATGTGTGGCCGGGGCCTGTGAAAGGGGAGTTCATTTTTCCTGACTTCAGCCACAGCTGTCTGCAGGCTCTCCAAGGAACTGGACTTTTTCAAACCCAGAGTTGGACCAAAATCTTTGCTTGGAGATTCTGTAAAAGAAAGGGGGGAAAGGTCACCCTTCCCATCCTGGGACAGTGTGGTATCATGGAAATACTGTAGCTCCAAGGAAATTTCTGTTTGGGTTTTTTAAAAAAGCAGGGTTAGAGGAGTAGGGGTTGGGGTTCCAATTCCAGCTGTGCCACTTTGTTTATGAACTTGAATAAGTGGTTAGACTCGTCTGAGCCACAATTTCTTTTTCTAAAGTGGTGGTAAGATTTGAGAATACTTAAATCTATATTATACATAGAAATTTTTTTGCACGTGTATCAATGCACACATATGTGAATTTGAAAGGCTGTTACTATGCACAGAGATTAAATGCATGGGGGTACATAYATACAATATGTGTGTGCACATATACACTGCCAGATATGCAAACACAATACTTGACCTGAGGAGTGCTTCTCTATTGGTATCCACTCCAGGCACTCTCACTCAGAGTATCTCTTGTTAGTACCATAGTTATTTTATATGATCATTAAGAAACATATTGTGTCTGCAAATCAAGGAACATTAGCAATTGTAATTTTTGTGATTGAACGCTTTACCTTTCCCTAGTGGCTATCAATGTAATTTAGTCAGTCTGTAAATAAATAAAGCAAAATAAGAAAGGAAACAACTTTTCTGTGTCCATACTATTGTTCCAAATGTATTTCTATTTGGGAACTAGCAAAGGGGAAGTCTTTTTATATAATATAAAATTAAAAAACAGAGAAAACAAAACATAACTGAACTTTAATCGTCTGTTTTTGGATATATCCTATTGTTCATTTGTATAATTTGTCCCACTCTGCACCTGCTCCCTTCTACTCTATTTCTTGACCTCCTTTCCCACTCCCATCCAGTCTTCCAATTACCAATAACAAGATTAGATGATATAAATACAGCAGCTCAAGGATTACTTTAAGGATGAAAGGAATCCCATCAAGGCTCTCACTTCTATACTCAGAGCTGTTCACCGGGGCCAAAGCTCATGTTCCCCTCCAGTTACGAGGGAGATTATTGTCACCAAGAGGGTACGCTTGCATTTCTAGAAACAAACTACAGTGCAGCTTTCCAATAAATATGGATTGAGCACCTATTATGAATTATGTACATAAAGTGCCCACTTTTGATGCCTAATACATCATAAGGTTCAATAAACAGTACTACCTTTCATTACTATCATCACTATTTTTGCTTCTACTACCAATACTAACATGAACACAACTATTTGTTGCCTAACATTGCATTAGGTAACACAGGAATACAAAAGAGGTACAGCAAAGGTCTAACATACATATATATATATATATATATATATATATATATCCATGCAAAGTCAAATATAATACACACTCTTATAACTGTATTCAAAATAATGACAATAATGCTGATAACTAACAAGGCATGGACTCCTTAGAATGTGCCAAGCACTAGATGAGTGCTTCACTTATATTAACTGTCTATAATTCTTACAGTTTTGCTACTGGCAAAACTGTCAGCATTTTACAGATGAGAAAACTGAAATAACTTCCTCAAGCAACCCTTAATAAGCATCCCAACTGGKAACTGACCAAAGGCAGCCAAACTCCTGCTGTTCTGTTAGGTATCAAGTGCCTCACTTCCTAAAGGTGGGTTCAGTCTCTGCTCTCTACCTGATTATGGTGAAACTACTTAATTTGGCCTACGTTTTCTTCACTTCTAAAGTGAAAATGATAGCCTAGATTATCTCTGGAGCCTAGTCAAGCAGGCAAACTACAGAAATTGGATACTGCTTTATGGTTATGTCMTGAACTTCCAGGAGGCAACTTCGCACTTTGAATAATATACACAGGGACGATGAACAATACGTTTTAGAGGTGCCACTGTGTATTCGATAAGTGACAGAAATGAGACCAAGCAAAGAAAACAAAAACCTAAGAAATTTTGGGGACATCTTTCAGGTGTTACTTGCAAGCACAAATATTAAGGAAATGTTGCTCTTAAATCCAGAAAGAGCTGTTTCTCGTATTCACAGGGAAGAAGGTGAGTTGAAGAAGCAGAAAGTGAATAAGATCATTTCTGACAAGAAAACACAGGGCAACATCGGAGTTTGGAGGTACTGAGATAACAAAAAAAGCACTGGCATTAACGAAAAATATTTTCTACCATCACCCCTAGGGGTGTCTGACATGAAGTTTGGCAAAAATATGAATAAAAAAACTGAGAAAGCTGGGATCCTCTGTCAACAATAGTAACCATCTTTTATTTATTAACTGCCATTCAGAAGATTATATTGAGTCCAAACCGTGAGCATTCACGTCACCCTTTAGTGGTAAATTCCAGGGAACTTGAAAGTGAATAAATCATCCAAGATTCAAGGCATATTGTCTGAAAGGAGCTAACCTAAAGCTCAGCAAGAAGTCACCTCTGAGAAGGAGCAAATACAGTGAATCACTCTAAGCAAACTGAGCATTACGGAATCATGGATTTTGAAGGATTAATAGAGCTGGTGATTAATTCACTTTATTTAAGTAGTAGTTCCAAATGAGAAGCACCCTAACTGAAGTTGGGCAACATTACAACCCAGTACTATTGGAGGTAATACCTAGTAAATTTAAAAGCAAAAAAGAAAGGTTGAGTCCAAGGTTGAACTCAGGGATTTTTCTGGCCTGGAAAAAAAAATTTGATTTATTCTTGAGGAGCCAGGAAGTAGTTGTGGAAGAGAGAGTGACATTGGAAAGAAGAACCCCAACCAGGACTATATAAGGACTTATAGGTACAATGAACACATTTAATTATCTCCAAGTGAAAGGGTACTGTGACATGAACCTTCACCAGGGTCCCACATGTCCTTATATGTTGGAGGGCTTTGACAGTAGGTCAAAGATACCAGCTGTGGGAAGGATTATTATGTCTATTGCTCAGCATCAGTGTTAAATTCCCAAAAAAATATTTGGAATAAAAGTTCCTTATTATGTGAAAATTTTGTGCAGTACAATAATAGCTCCAGTGGGGAGCTACTGTCCAGATGGAGAGGTACTGCTACCAAACAGACTTTTAAAGCATGGAGAAACTGCTGTCCATTCAATCCCTCTTTCCTACTCCTACTCTCATCAATTTCAGTTTAGGTTGACAATACATTGGAAAATTTACAGGTTTTTGTAATGAAAAGATTCATTTTCTATTTATAGCCTCCCTATTTACACAAATCATAGTTTTTCAAGCTCCCTCTAAAAATAGAGATCTCCTTCAAGGAATACTATTAARTGAGTCATTTTTCAAATTCAAAACCTCAGCCACTTAATCTCATGGAAGTCACCCCAAAATATGACTTCACATTTTCATCTGTAGTTGACGCAATATTGGAAATGGTTGACATGTTATTTGTCACAGGATGGACCTTGTCCAAATTCAAGCATTTGCTTGTCCCATTCTGAGTGCTGACAAAAGCAATCTGCATATGACTATCAAATGACTTCCAGGCCAGCTCAGGTTAGTTGCAAATGCCAAGGAATAAGAAAATTTTTATTTTAAACTAGGACTTCTATAGCCAGTGTTCATGTTCTATAAGATCTAGAAGAACTTACTCTTCCCTCAAAAACATTAACTCGACGTACACGAATTTCATAAAACAAATGATGTGATTATCAAGGGTACTAAAAGAAGGATCTGTTCTGATAAAAAATTATTCTCAAAATGGCATAATGAAAATGCTCTTAATGTCACATTAATGTCACATGCCACATTTCCCCTTAATATTAAGGCCTCATAAGGAAATATTGTGGAACTATATATTTTTAAAGATGTTAGAGCTCTTTTAAAGATTCCATCTGTTCCCAAATGAAGGACTGGACTGACTTGGTCCCTGAGGCTTTCCCCATAGTGTGGAAGGAAATGTCAAGGTCAAGTCTGACATTTCAGAACTAACAATACTCAGACACCCACCACTTGTCTCCTTCCAGAAAAATAAAGTGTCATGAAAAGAACAAACACATGAAAACACACACACACACACACACACACACACACACACACACACAGCAAAAATAAATTTGAAGGAGATGTGCCTCCATTTTTCCTGTAGGCCTGAAACAGGTGTGAAGAGGTCCAGTGGGGAGCTACTGTCCAGGTGGAGAGGTGCTGCTACCAAACAGACTTTTAAAACACGGAGAAACCGCTGTCCCAGCCTTTAGCAGAAAGCCCCATTTCAACATGCCAGGCAACAGGCAGCGCTTCCTGGAGGACGTTTGGGTATCGGCCTCCACCTTGGATTCCTGCACCTGTCTTCCGTTTGAGAGCTGCCACTGGTTTCCTACAGGCAGGTGAGCAGGGTAACAGAAAATAGAACTGTTCGGAGGCTGATGGTTAACAGTGAAGGAGAGGCTGTAGAATTCCAAACACTCCTCTGCAATTACCTCTTGAGTTGCTAACCTTCTGTGCCTTAGTTTCCCTATCTGTAAAATGAGGGTGAGACAAGCAGAGAGTGCCTGGACCCTATTGAGTTCTCATTAAGTACTGGTGATCATTATTGTCACTGTTACTTTTGTGCCACCTCTAAACATCTGAATAAATGAACTCCTGATGGAACTGATTGGGTTCAATTCATCACTGCAGTCCATGCTTTCCACGAGCAGCTGAAAGGACTTTATAATGAAATGTTATCCTTCCTTCTTATTCAGAAATTAAACTGATCATTTTTAAAACAACTCCTTATATTTTTTTCTCCTTCTGAAATAAGGTATATATATTCATCCGTTCATCACACATAGAGGCTATTCTTGGTAAGATTAATAGTGGAGTCTCCRTTGCCCTTCCCCTTAGGCTATAATCATTTAATTAGTCTGAGATTTCATTGGCAATGTTTGAACTTACCACTCTAGCATTAAAATCTTGCAATAAAAGAATGCCTTAATCCAGAAGACCAGTAATTGGATCTTCCATTATTGATGAAATTGCTTCCAATACATCCTTATTAAAAAAAAATAAGGAATTCTTTTGGAGAAGATATTCACTTTCAGATACGTGG